AAAAATTAAATCTGTTACGAAAAAAAGAACTAAACAAAATGAACACAAAACGATCAGCTTTAAAAAAAGGACTCGTAACAACAAATACTTTTTCACACCCAACCCAGTTCTTCGGAATCAGAATCAACGTTGAGTTTAAGCAAGCGAATGAGCCAATTGGAGTAAAGTGACATGCAGATTTAAATTTTTCCCACTTGTGACGAATGCAGCTATCGATTTTTTTGCATGCTAGCATGCTAGTTAACATTCGTGTCAGTCAGCTGTTGGCTCTCACGCTGACCAATAGAATCTTCCTGCCTATTCGTGGCAGCCAGCTATAGGCTCTCACTCTGGCCAGTAGAAAATGGCCGCGAACTACATGAAAACTGCCGTAGAAGCATGAAAAAAATCGATTATTTCCACTATCGATGGAAGTTGGGAAATGCAAAGTCAGTCTTGGCCTTCCCGCTAACTTGGAGCATGTGCATGTAAATTTTGGTGCAAATCCGTCGAAAATTGCGGCCGTGCATTCGTTACACACACACACACACATGCACACACACATATCCTGCCTTTTATAGATAGAGATTTTAAAATTTAAAAATTATAAATAAATAAGAGGATGGTGGGTGAACAAAAAATAAATTTAAAAAATATATTTCTGATGATAAGTTCCTTTTAGTAGGACGAAAAAACTCTGAAATTAAATATTGAATCTGCGGACTATCAAGGATTACTCAGATCTTCCAAAGTATACATAAAAAAATAGTTTGCTTTGGGGACTTTTGCAGTAAACTTAATTTTGGTTGTAAATATGTAACATTTATGAGGATTATATACGGATATCTTTTCTGGGTTTTTTATAAATTATACACTGTTCAATAACACCGGTCGATATTTTGTTTCGAGCCAAATGTTGTTGGGCCATGGGAACAGGTTTCTGGGCTATTTTTTCACGCTGAATCTGAAAATCAAGTCTATTTTTCCCATCACATCACGTTTTCTGTTTTTCTTAAAATAGGCCAAAATACCCATTTAACAGTTATATGTCATGGCCAAGTAGAACTAACCATAAACGTTTTCAGGTTAGAATGACTTATCACAAAAGAAAAAGTATCCCAATAACTTAAAGAATACATTTTCAGCATTTTCAGTTCAGAAAAATATTTTTAGAAAAATCCCACACAAAATTAAATTAAGGCAAACATGTGTCATCAGTTTTTGAATCAAAAAGATACAAAGGAATGAAAAAATCCATTCATTTTTGTCCATCTAAAGGTAAAAATCTTCTTGGAAACTCTACGGTGCTTTTGAAAAGGTTGATCTTTTTGATGCTTCAGCAGAAATCAGCCATCATGTTAACATCCCATCTGCAAAGTGCCTAGTTAGCTATGCCTATCTGGTATTTGGCAGCTATTTTAAGCGCTAATAAAGAAAATTCTAATCTTGCTAGTCTCAAATAAACTCGCTTAACATTCTAATAACCCTCATTTATCAATGTTTCTATGCATGTTATACAGAGACTGCATGCCAATACCAGACCTCCGCAAATTTGAGTGATATGATAAATTCTTACGACGGTTTCAGGCTAAAAGTGAAAACTACTAATAAAAATTAAAATCGCTGTTCTTGATTGACTTCTAAAGAGCTTCTTCTATGAAAAGTAGAGAAGAAACACAAATCACAAAGTTTTAACAAGCTAAGAACATTAAGAGCAAAATAACATTTTCTAGTGAGATATCTCATAAAATCAAGCATTTTCAGTTCAGCTTATCTGAATTGAAGTAGCTAAGAATTCATTTTGAAAGCTATTTGGATACTTTTTCTTGACTGATAAATTATTTTAACGTGAAACGAAATCTTTCAACTATGTCACTCGCATATTTAAACCGTGGCATATCCCCGTGAATTAGGCATTTTGGCCTATTTCAAGCAAAATAGAAATTATCTGTACTGAGAAAACGTGATGTGATGGAGGAAAATGGACTTGATTTTCAGATTCAGCGTGAAAAAATAGCCCAGAAACATTTCCCAAATGTAGATTGGTGTTATTAATATTATCAACGAACTATTTTAAATTACAAAATTGTACTTGAAACTTCTATGACAACTTTTCTCTCTTGCGTATCTGTCTATATTTCCGAGATGAGGTATTATGTACATCATTTACATTATCCTATCTTTGTTGCCATATTTATTACAACGTTGGCCTTCTTCAGGTGGTTGGAATGTCGAACTGAACCCTTTGTTTCGCTCGCTGGGGTAGACTGTCCTAGTTCCACGTGCCATGTTTAATGGATGTCATTTATCTCCTGTTAATTCCCCATAACCGTGTATTGAACTCACACTCTTTGGGTCCTGTCACTGAATGTAAATAACGCCTTTATCCACTGTGCCATGTGTCCTTGAGGACATCTGTGTATGAATTTCTGGGTATTATAAATCTAAAATCTTCAGCAATCATTTTTTACGAGTGCTCATATTTCAATTCATGCTGTTATCACATCATAGTTTTACCAGAGCTCATATTGCAATTTTTTGTTGTTATTATCGCTTTTCTCTGGCACTCCTTATTACTGGTTCCCATATTGCATTCATTTATATGCTTGGTCGGCTCGGGAGATTTTTGTGGCCTAGCATATGTGCTGATTCCTTAAGTTTACGAATTTTCCAGTGGTGTTCTCTGTCTATGATCTCAACCTGATCTCACAGAGTGCGGTGATCTCCCTTCTCTCTCCATATATGGCCAAGGACACATGGCACAGTGGATAAAGACGTTAGTTAGATCCAGTGACAGGGGCCAAAGAGCGTGAGTTCAATACCCGGTTAAGGCAGTGGCGAACTTTCAGAGGGGAATTAACAGCAGATAACTGATAACTGACATCCATTAAACATGTCACGTGGAACTAGAACAGTCTACACCAGTGAGCGAAATAAAGGGTTCAGTTCGACATTCCAACTACCTGAAGAAGGCCGGAACGTACAACGGCCGAAACGTTGTAATAAATATGGCGACAAAGATGCGGACAATAGTCCGAATAATGTAAATAATTTACATAATACCTCATCTCAGAAACATAAACAGATCCCTAGTCAATATTAACCAGAATTAATCGTTAGCCATTTCCCCATGTTGAGGTCATCTTGAATGGTCATTTCAGTCAGTTATGTGCTATGCGTGATACACGCTTAGGCGATTATGTATCTTTCGATACATGACTGACGAAGCAGATTTTTCCATTTCTTTCTGTGTTTGCCATCTAAAGCTATAGAACCCGGTCTGTCCTGCCATTTACCCATAGCTGGAGGGAGAAGAAGAGAAAAACAATGTAAATAAGGATGTTTTAAATTCTTACTCCGTCTTATAGATCGACAATAGCATTTTATTTTTGGTCATATATTAATCTAAAAGATTCCTTTTTACAGGCTTTATTTTTGAAATGGAATAAGATCATTCTAAATTTCAGAATTTTGCCATTGCCCAACAAAATGACTGGAAGAAAGCGATCTAAAAACAACAATGGAAAAGAGAGGTAACAAAGTGTAAATGAAATAGCTCATCTTTGTCGCCCTATTTATCACAACGTTTCAGCCGTTGTACGCTCCATCCTTCTTCAGGTGGTTAGAATGTCGAACGGAACCCTTTATTTCGCTCACTGCGGTAGACTGTTCCAGTTCCATGCGTCATGTTTAATGGATGTCATTTATCAGTTATCTCCTATTAATTCCCCTCTCAGAGTTCTCCACTACCTTAACTGCCTTGTGATATTTTTTAAGCATTTTACCCCTAGCAAGGCGGGAAGCCACTAGCACGCAAGGGGTTATAGAGGATTTGGAGCGAGAGCAGATAGGAATGATAGAGGAAAGGATGAGGAGAAGCCAACTGGAGATGTCGATTGACATTACATTCGAACAGGAATAGGGAAGGGAGTTCCACAGGCGTGAGGTGCGAGATATGAAGCTATTGGAGTAGAAGAGACGGCTATATTTAATAGTTTCAACAGTGAAATGGTGAGAGCGGGATGCCAGCCTCGCAGGGCGCTTGAATTCATGAAGTCTGGGAACCAGCGAAAGCAGCTCATCGGAGCAATTACCATGAAAGTATTTGTAAAAAAGACAGAGAAAGGCGACGGCACGTCTGTGAGAGAGCGACTGCAGACGAGATGCCAGATCGGGGCCAATTATATTGCATATCCGTTTCTGGATCTTATCAAGAACCCCGAGGCAAACAGTAGGGGCTCCAGACCAAATATGGCAGCAATACTCCATGCAAGGGCGAATGGTTGATCTGTAGATTTGAATCAGAAATATAGACAGAACTATTTTAAATTACAAAATTGTACTTGGATTAAATGAAAATTACTTACAATATATTACATATTACTCATAATACATTTAAACAGCACGGGTATACTAGTACATAAATAAAGATTTTGAGTTGTGGATTTGCAAATCAGGAAAGCCTTGCCTATTTGAAAGAGTGATGCAACCCAATTTTCTTAACTCTCATTTTATTCCAATTAGTCTCGTCCAGTGCAAAGTAACGTTCATAAAATAAAGAGAGAGGAAAAAAAACAAACTCAACTGCTGCGGAGAGGGGTTGAACTCACAACCGAAATGAATATCTACTTCCTCCCAGTCTTTGAAATCAGGTAAAGGCCAGGATTTCAAGTGTTGTTTTTACGAGGTAGTCAGATTCTAAGTGATTGGCGTACCATAATCTTTTTATCAGCATTTCACTGCATTTGATCTTGTGCCATTAAAAGCTATACTGTGTATATATGCCCACATGGTTCTGAGTCTATAAATATGTAATGAAATAAACATGTGACTATAAAAGCTTTTATTGTTTTTATTTTGTTGTTTCTCTTAAGACGTTTAATACGTTGTGTTTTAATTGCTTTTTAATCTTCATGACTTTCTTTTAAGTGGAATTATTTTATGTCGATTAGCTTTTTCCTCTTCTCGGTCTTTTCTATTTTCCATTTCTTTCTTGGCCTTTTTTTTTTGTTTTCTTTCAGGTTTTCCTTTGTTTTTGATCGCAGCAGACATTTCTTCATTCAATTTCTATATCAATCTTTTCTACGTTCATCTGACTTTTTTTTCTTTCTTTCGGCAATTTTCCCATCAAATTTTTATATTATCTTTGTTTCTTTCTTTGTTCTTTTATTCCCAAATGCCTTATTTACATTTCTTTCTTTCTTTTTATGCACATCTTTCTTGATTTCTTGCATTCGTTCTTATTGTATAACTTTCTTTTACTTTCTTTTTTTTTCTTTATTTCATGATGCTTTCTTTCTTTCTTTCCTTTTCCTTTTCTTTCTTTCAGCATGTTTTCTTTCTTTTTTTCCCTCTTTTCTTTCTTTCATCATGTTTTCTTTCTTTCTTTTTCCTTCTTTTCTTTCATGATGTTTTCTTTCTTTCATACTTTCTTTCTTTCCTTTCATTTTCCTTTTCTTTCTTTCATCACGTTTTCTTTCTTTCATTTTCCTTTTCTTTCTTTCATTATGTTTTCTTTCTTTTTCCTTCTTTTCTTTCATGATGTTTTTTTTTCTTTCTTTCTTTCTTTCTTTCTTTTAATGTTTTCTGTTTTACTTAAATTTTTGTTGGGTTCATATTTTTCATTTGCATTTTTTATTTTCCGGACTACATTTTTCATAAATTTAGTATTTTATATTCTCTAATCCCCATATTCCGCATTCTCTTTTGTTTGTTTGCATCAAATTTCTCTTTGTATCTGTCTACCCCCATATATATATATATATATATATATATATATATATATATATATATATATATATATATATATATAAACATATGTTTGAAAAGATCATATTCTGTTTATTATTATTTCTTTGTGTGCAATGTAATTTCTCCATTGCATAAAATAAGATCCAACAAGCGAAGTATTTTAAAACTCGGAATGTGATTGAGTAACGGAAAGAAAAAAGTCAATTTGACTTACTGTCTCTCGGCTGATTTGAACATTGGTGTATGGTTTCTGCCGTTTGATTGCACATTTGGGATTTTGCCAAGAAAGAACAAGGAATGGAAATATATATATATATATATATATATATATATATATATATATATATATATATATATATTTGTGTATTTAGGCAGCAATCCTTCTTTCATGCACATTTCATTGAATGGCACAGACAAGGTGCTTTTATTTAGTTTTTTATACAATTTCAAATGCGATCTAATAATGTTTTTCTTTTCGGATGATAAATTATATAAAAACTGTCCGAATGTTCTTTTTATCCGAGCGCTTTCGGCTATACATTTAGTCATTTTCAAGGATTAAATATTTTAACTGTTAAATAAGAAATAGTTTGTTGTATGTATGTTTTATAAAATGTTTTAATTTTTCAAAACACGGTCAAGATATAGTGTCCATGTTCAAAGTTAATATTATTAAGTGTTGTTTTTATTAATAAGGCTTCCATCATTTTTAGCCTTTTTTTTTGCATGTAGGTGATGCTATTATATTAGTGTTGTCAACAAGTATGTTACGAATAGTGTCCTGTAGGTCTCTATAAATATTTAAATGAGATCTAATTGAGCTATGGTCAGAAAGGTTTAGAGTGAGTCTGTGCGTCAAATATGTTGTACTGTGGCCTATATAATTATTTACGAATTTTGATTGATCAGGAATACGATTCCTTAATGGGCATTTAAATTCGTAAATACTATTTGCCCTATTTAATTTTGTTCTAGGAGTTGAATTATTAGTTTTAACTATAAGGTTAGAGGTTTTAAATTGTTTGTAATAAATAATTAATCTAATTTTTTTGCTATTGTCAACTCGTGTTATGCATTTTTTATAATGTTCTTAATTCAGCAATTATATTTATATTTAAATATAAAATATATTTAAATATTAAAATTTATATATATATATATATATATACATATATTAAAGAATAAAAATATATATATATATATTAAAGAATAAATAAATAACGAAAATTTTCATCTTCATATTACCTAATAAATATAAGCATCCATGAGAAATTATTTAATAACAATTCTTTAGCAACAGTTTTTTTAAACTTTTCACCTGATACAACTCTTCTTGGTATGACGATAAAATACATCTGCATCCTGAGTCAGACGATAAACTACGTCCAACAGCAAGGCCTCTGATCAAGAGGTTTTGATGATCGTGGAACCACCTCTTAATTGCTAGTTATTCCAGCTCCACTCTGCCCGGGGATGATAACACCTGTTAGGGTCCCAGCTATGGGCAAATAGCTAACCCACAAATTGGGGTCAATATACTATGAAAGTGTAAAAATAGGTTTTAATACCAGAAATATTTTGTAAAAAATATTACCAGCAATACATTTTTGAAGGAAACAATTATTTCTAGCAATGCATTATTACCAGCAATATATTTGTTTTTTTCTCAAATTACCAGCAATACATTTGTGAAAAAAAAATATTACCAGCAATACATTTGTGAAAAAAAATATTATCAGCTATACATTACTGAAAAAATATTACCAGCAACAGATTTTTGGATGAAAAAATATTACCAGAAATAGATTTTTGAAGAAAAAATATTACCAGAAATAGATTTTTGAAAAAAAAATATTACCAGAAATAGATTTAGTGAAGAAAAAATATTGCCAGAAATAGATTTTTGGAGAAAAAATATTACCAGAAATAGATTTTTGAAGAAAAAATATTACCAGAAATAGATTTTTGAAGAAAAAATATTACCAGAAATAGATTTTTGAAGAAAAAATATTACCAGAAATAGATTTAGTGAAAAAAAAAATATTACCATTTGTGGAACAAAATTCTAGCAATAAAAATATTAAAGGTTAAGATCAAAATGTGCAAAGAGGTTTCACTCTGTGTACTCTTATGGCATCAAATATCCCAATAGATTTTTTTTATCCGACCTCGAAAAGTACATAACAAAAATCATTATATACATTAATATCTAATACCTTTAAAAATACAGACCCTTTCTTTTACAAATTCATATATGCACAAAGCCACAGTCATGTAGCGCAAATGAACTTCAGCTCTACACAGTGGACAATGGTTCCTCTCTCAGCTGAAATTGGACCAGGTTTGGTTTGGTTTGATTTGTTTTACGGCATATCAACATCAATGGGTTACTTAATGCCGAAATCTAAATATTTTGAACACAATTTTTATGACTTGAACTAAATATATTTTGAACACAATTGTATACATTTAACTACAAATAAAATGTATTGTTAGTCATTTTTTTATATAAAAATGAATTACTGTTATTTTTACTATGAAAATCTATTTTTATAGTTTCAAAGTATTTTGTTTAGGAGTTCGCTATTTGCCCATATCTGGGACCATAACAGGTGTTATCATTCCATGTCAGGGTGGCCCTGGGGACAACAGCAATTAAGAGATGGGAGGAGCGGTTGATTTATACCTTTCCCAAGTATATTAAAGCGTAGGTGAATACAACGAACCCGAGTGGAATTAGAACTCGGTTCTCCTATTTCTAATTCCGAACCATTAAACACTGCACCACTCCTACCTGTAAGGTTACAGCACTTGGTATTCCCTAGTGGTCACCCACCTAGGTAGTAACCAGGTTCGATGTTGCTTAACTTCGATAATTGGACGATACTTTTTTTAATTTTGAGTTATAAGGCAGTGAAGGTAATTTGGAATTCACATTTTGATACATCGGGCCAACGGTCGATCGGAGATTGTCTTGAGCAGACTGCACTTGGTGTTTCGAACTTGGCCCCACCTGCACGGTTATGCACTTTTATTGAAATCTGTTATTGTTCAAAAGAAATGCTCAGTGAAAATGATGCCATTTCAGACCTTAGGTCTCTTTTTGGGACCCGGAAAGAAATGAGTATACACTAGAAATCAAACGAAACAACAACAACAACAATAATAATAATAATAATAATAATGAAAATAATAATAATAATAATGAAAATAATAATAATAATAATAATAATAATAATAATAATAATTGATATAATTGTAATGAACCAAGGAATTTGAAAAACCCTGGAAAATTGAAAACAGGAATAATACCAGTGAATCTAATTATAAAAAATGGAACAAAACAACACATTGAAAGAATCCCTAAACCCCAGCTAAAGACATACAGAAAATTGTCTTTGATAGTGTTCCTAAGGAGAACTTTGGATCAACTTAAGACTTTGGAAAAAAAAAAAAAAAAAAAAATTAACATGTACACACCACGAGTCCTGCCTTAGCCTTGTGGTATAGCAGAAATCGAATGATTCCTGAAAATTGCAGGAGACGACGCAGGAATCTATGGATTGATTATCGTAAAGCCTTTGATAGTGTTCCACATTCTTGGATCCTTAAGACTTTGAAATGTACAGAGTCTCGCCTGGGGTATTAAATTTCACATGGGAATATGGAACACCAAACTATACCTTAGTCACACCGGGGGTACTCATCCAACCGTCTGAATATCCGACGTGGAATCTTTCAATAAGACTCTCTGTCACCCCTTCTGTTTTGTTTATCCTTAATCCCTCTTACATGAACTGAACAACAGTAGCTATGGTTACAAAATAAATAAGAAAATATTCAATCACCTACTCTACATGGATGATCTCAAACTCTTTGCCAAAGACGACAATGAGTTGAAAGGCCTCCTCAATATTGTAAAATACTTCAGTGACGACATAGGTATGAACTTCGGATTAGATAAATGTGCAAAAGTGACTTTCAAAGAAAGGTAGAATTACAGAAACACCCTTAATAGATTTAGATTTTGTCACAAAGATTAGGGAACTGGAGCATGGTGAAGTTTATAAGTACCTAGGAATTAGCGAAGGAGATGGCATACAACACCCCCAAATGAAGGAAAAAATAAGAAAAGAGTACTACAGGCGTGTACGTCTGGTACTAAATACTAAGCTAAACTCAAAAAACAGGATATCAGCCATAAACACATTGGCTGTCCCTGTGGTGCAATACAGCTTTAATGTCCTTAACTGGACCATAGCTGAAATTAAGCGAATGGACGCCAAAACGAGAAAGCTTCTCACTTGCTATCGCATGCATCATCCCAAAGCTGATGTTGATCGTATGTATGTGCCCAGATCCGAAGGAGGCAGAGGATTAGTTCAACTAGAACTGTCCTACAAAACTACAATAATTGGCCTCCAAAGATATTTGGAAACTACAGAAGACTGGATGATGGTATGCGTCAAGGAACATGAAAGTAGTAAGCGTCTTTACTCCGTAATGAAAGAAGCCAACAAATTCAAAATGGAGTTTCAAATGGGCGTAGAGATGCAACTACAGCACAATACACCGGCTGAAACTGCAAAATACCTAAAAAAGACAGCAAAGACGAATGCAACCGACCAGCTACAGAAGCGATGGCAAGATAAACCGCTTCATGGCCAATACTCTGCCCGTACCAAACAAGCTGACGTAGACATAACCCGTACCCATCAGTGGCTACGTAGTGCAGGGTTGAAAGCGGAAACTGAAGGTTTTATCCTTGCTGCGCAGGACCAATGCTTGCTAACTAGGAATTATCAAGCACATATACTAAAATATTGTGTCAGCCCAA